CAAGCAACCCCCATGCCTCAGTCTCAAAGTGCGGGGTTACAGGCGTGTGACACCTCACCCAGTCTCAGCCTCAGTTTCTTGAGCTGTAAAATTGCAATAATATCCTCCTCACCCTGCTTCATATACAATAAGCACTCGATCAGTGAACCTTGTTGTTATTATATCATTTTCTTTAACTTATTTTTCTGAGATGGAGTCTCACTCTGTAGCCCAGACTGGAATGCAGTGACGCGGTCTCGCCTCACTGCGGCCTCTGCCTCCCGGTTTAAGCGATTGTCCCGCCTCAGCCTCCGGAGTAGCTGGGACTACGAGTGCATGCTACCACACCCGGTTAATTTTTGTATTTTTACTAGAAACGGGGTTTCACCATGTTGGCCAGGATGGTCTCGATCTCCTGACCTCGTGATCTGTCCGTCTCGGCCTCCCAAAGTGCTGGGATTACAGGCTTCAGCCACCGCGCCCGGCTTATTTTGGTTTTTAAAGGGTAGTAGGAGCAGCAGTGAAATCAGCCTCTACGCCCCCACCGCCCTTCCGCGCTCCCTGCTCTGGTACCAGCAGCTCCCAGCAGCATACACAGCCGCGTGCGCCTCCACCTCCGTCCGCAGGTGTCGCTGTGGATGCCGCGGCCGGCCCCACTAGGCGGTGTCCGCGGAACCGGAAGTCTCCTTTTACACCCACTTCCGCTCTCTAGCCCGGGCTTGGGCTGCGTGGAGAGCCCTTTTGCGATGCCTACTGGAGATTTTGAGTGAGTTGGGGATCACGGAAGCGGGTACGGGAGGCGGTTACAGGGCTCTGGGAAGTATTATGGGGCCTGGGTGCGCCGAGGCCGCGGGGGCTTGGCCTGGCTGACTTAATCTTAGCTCCCCACACACTTGTTTCCGCAGTTCGAAGCCCAGCTGGGCCGACCAGGTGGAAGAGGAGGGAGAGGACGGTAAGTGAATCCGTTTGCCCCAGGTCATCGCGGCCAGGCCCGAGCCGGTTCACTGCTGCCTGTTTCCATCTCCCAGACTGGCACCGTGTTCGCCGTCACGGCCAGCCCCTGCCCCGCGCCTTCATCCTTGGGGCTCGCCTGTTGCCAACTCCAGATGTTCCTTGGCAGGTCCCTCTTCCTCCCATGCCATTGCGCTAGCCCTCCCAGCTGTTCCCTTACTCCAGGGAGACAATTGTAATCTCCTGTCTCCTGTTTCTCTCTGGCGCCTGGATGGCTTCATGGCGTGGCCCCCACCTTCCTACGAGGGATTCCCCCATCCTGGCCACTCCGCGTCCCCACAGGGCCATCCCAGTGTACTACCTGGCCAGTCCTCTGCCCTTGGCCTGCCTTTCTCAGCTTTTGCTGTAGGCGTCATCCCAAAGGCCCTTCCATCTCAGCTGGGGAGCTCCTGCCCCTGGAGCTGACCCCTTCTCCCCACGCTGCTTCTCGCAGACAAATGTGTCACCAGCGAGCTCCTCAAAGGGATCCCTCTGGCCACCGGCGACACCAGCCCAGAGCCGGAGCTGCTGCCGGGAGGTGAGTGAGGACTGCCACTCCGTTCCGGGCTGCCTCTCCCTCCAGCCGTGCCGCTCCTGATGCCCGTGACCCAGGGCTCAGTTTCTTGCTCTTTTTCCCCTTCTCCAGCTCCACTGCCGCCTCCCAAGGAGGTCATCAACGGAAACATAAAGACAGTGACGGAGTACAAGATAGATGAGGATGGCAAGAAGTTCAAGGTGAGGGTGGGAGGGGGCAAGGAGTGAGGACCCTTTTCCTTGGGGACCCTGAGACCAGAAGAGGTTGGGGTGTGTTGAGTGGGTTGATAAAGGAGCTCCTTTGGTTCCAGGAGCCTGACCCTTCTCCTCTCCCATCCTCAGATTGTCCGCACCTTCAGGATTGAGACCCGGAAGGCTTCAAAGGCTGTCGCAAGGAGGAAGGTGAGATCCTCCTTCCCCAGGGATAACACAGAGGAATTGGAAAACTGTGTTCCCTGGACCTTTGTTTTTAAGAGATGGGACTTAACTCTGTACCTGTTGTGAGTCTGAACTGAGCCTTGGGTTCTTGTATTCTTATGGGGTCTTGAAAAGTTCAGGGCACAGGAGTTGATGATGATGCACAGTAAAAATGTTCAATGATGGGCAGGGGTGCAGTGAAAGTAGCCATGTGTGGTGGTGTGCACCTATAATCCCAGCTACGGGGCAGGCTAAGGCAGAAGAATTGCTTGAATCTGGGAGACGGAGGTTGCAGTTAGCTGAGGTTGCACCATTGCACTCCAGCCTGGGTGACAGAGTGAGACTGCATCTCACCAAAAAAAAAAAAAAAGTTTGATGATAAATATCGAATGATAGTAATATCAAATAAATTAGATTAAAAATATTGTAAGTTAGATTCTTTTATTTTTTTTTTAAAGACACAGGGTCCAGTCCTGTTGCCCAGTCTTGAGGGCAGTGGCACAGTCAGAGCTTACTGCAGCCTTACACTCCCAGGTTCAAGCCATCCTCCCACCTCACCCTGCTGAGTAGCTGGGGTTACAGGTGTGCACCGCCACACCGGGCTAATTTTAAGTTTTTGTAGAGGTAAGGTTTCTCTATGTTGATCAGGCTGGTCTCCAGTTCCTGGGCTCAAGAGCTTCCACCTTCACCTCGCAAAGTGCTGGGATTACAGGAGGGAGCCCCTGCGACCAGCTGTGGTTAGATTTTTTATTCCTCTTAGCCTGTCAATGGAGGAATGGAGCCAGAAGGTGGTCACAGCAGTTTCTGGAAGAAGTGATATCAATTAATACACTTGGGACAGTTTGCTGTGCACTTAGTTTGTACCATACCTCATGCCAGCCACCTGGCAGGGTGTTTCTCATTTGATGTCCTTAGAAGCCCAGGGAGGTAGGAAGCTTTTGTGGTTCCTGTTTTACAAGGGAGGAAGCCAAGGCTCAGGCTGGGTAGCTCAAAGGCCTGGAGGTCTGGGTGGAGGCCCTGCACATCCCTGAATATTGAACCCTAGTGGGAGCTTGTCCGCCAACATGAACAGGCCCCAGGCTGTGTAGCTCTCACCTGGGGCCCAATGCTGACAGCTGCCCTGCCACCTGGAGCTCAGGCCTGGCGGGGACTCAGGCAATAGGAACTGTCAACAGAACTGTTCAGGGAGTGGTTGAGGAGGATAAAAATGAGGTTCAAGGCCCAGACACTCCGGGGAAGGCTGTAGGTCCGGGACACCCCACTGTGGAACCCTGCCTGCCCCTGCCCTCAATTGTCCCCCATTCCTCCCTGAGCCCAGAACTGGAAGAAGTTTGGAAACTCAGAGTTTGACCCCCCAGGGCCCAATGTGGCCACCACCACTGTCAGTGACGATGTCTCTATGACGTTCATCACCAGCAAGGAGGTAAGCAGGGCAACCAGACTGGGCTGGGGTCCTGGGGTGGTGGCAAAGGGGGTGCCTCAACCACCTCTTTGAATTCCCCCAAACCTGCCCCTGCCAGGACCTGAACTGCCAGGAGGAGGAGGACCCCATGAACAAACTCAAGGGGCAGAAGATCGTGTCCTGCCGCATCTGCAAGGGCGACCACTGGACCACTCGCTGCCCGTACAAGGACACGCTGGGGCCCATGCAGAAGGAGCTGGCCGAGCAGTTGGGCCTGTCCACTGGCGAGAAGGAGAAGCTGCCCGGAGGTGCGTGGACAGGGGTGCTGGATGCTGTTGTGGGCTTGGTGTGTGTGGGGGGGTCCTTGATCATTGCCTGTTATCTCCTGCATGACAGCACAGTGGGTTTGACAGTGCCTGTCTTTCTTTGAGGTGCCTTTTACCTTCCTAGTTGGCTGCATCTCCTGTAAGGTTGGGAGATAGGCATCTCCTGTTTATATGTGACTTGGCAGCTGTGACTCTGCTGGTGGCCGTGTGACTGTCCTGATGTGAGCTGCTTGAGCTGCTGTCAGTTCCAGAGTGCTGACCCCTCCATCCCCTTGTGTATGTGTGGTGTGTTGCTTGCCTGTGACTCTACCATCTGAATCCTTCTGTGGGATTAGCTGGTGGTGAGTGGGGATGTGTACTTGTTGCCTGCCATGTGAGGGCAACCTGGGCACTGTCCTGTGTGTCCCATGACGCCATCGCTGTAGATGTGAGGCTGCTCTCCCTGTGACCCCCTGCTCTCTCAGGAGGGGGGTTGGGGCTTTTCCTCCCCTGCCTTCACTAGTGTTGCTTGCTGGGAGCTCAAATGGTACCAGCTTTCTGGGTGTGACCTTGGTGTCCCTTTGGCCAACCGGCTGCCTGTGGCTTGGCAGACAGTGCCTGCTCTCGATCAGCACTGGAGCCCCATCTTCCTGGGGCAGCTCTGTCCCTGTGCCTGTGCCAGGGTGAAGTTGAACTCAGCTGTCTGTTGGTCCGCAGAGCTAGAGCCGGTGCAGGCCACCCAGAACAAGACGGGGAAGTACGTGCCGCCAAGCCTGCGTGACGGGGCCAGCCGCCGAGGAGAGTCCATGCAGCCCAACCGCAGAGGTGAGGGGTGTCCCGACACCGGGCTGGTGAGTGGGCACCTCCGAGAACCCCTCATTATCCCCGAGGTGCACACGAGGGCCAGGCAGGGGACTCCATTCACAGCCACCTCCCCTCACAGCCGATGACAATGCCACCATCCGTGTCACCAACTTGTCAGAGGACACGCGTGAGACCGACCTGCAGGAGCTCTTCCGGCCCTTTGGTTCCATCTCCCGCATCTACCTAGCTAAGGACAAGACCACTGGCCAGTCCAAGGTAGGTGGGCAGGCACAGGGGGCGGCGGGGGGGTGCTGTGGGGCAGGGCTTTGCCTGATGACCCCACCCACGCCTCCCCTCTGCAGGGCTTTGCCTTCATCAGCTTCCACCGCCGTGAGGATGCTGCACGCGCTATCGCTGGAGTGTCTGGCTTCGGCTATGACCACCTCATCCTCAACGTCGAGTGGGCCAAGTAAGATCCGACCCCTGCCCTGCCTCTGCCCCTGCCCCGGGTCCCTGTCTTGTCCCAGCACCGCCACTGAGCCTGGGGCCGACCAATAGTCCTATAGCAATTTAATAGTCCCCAGGTTGGTTTTGAGGGGACAGTCCTTGTCTTTTTCCAAAACCTGGCAGAGGGTTTCTGGGTGGCAGCTCTTGTGCCCCAGGGTCCCTGCCAGTCTTTGGGTCAGGCCTTGAGACTGGCCATCTGACTGTGTCCCCTTTGTCCTTGTATTACCCCATCTTTGCTCCCACCCATGAGGTGCCACTTGGGTGTCGGGAGTCTTGGGGTGCCCCCCAAGGTCTCACACCATGCCACCCTCCTCCTGCCTTCCCCAGGCCATCCACTAACTAAGCCAGCTGCCACCGGATGCTCGGCCTAGGACCCTTGGCGACAGAAGGCAGCCTCTGAGAGCATGGGCTCCAAGGGCAATAAAAAGGCTCCTCTCTCTCTACCCCGTCCTGTTTATTCTTGCATCTCCAGTCCTGTGGCAGGGCCAGCCCCTCCCCTTCCCTGGGTGTGGGTTTGGTCCCTGACCCTGCATAGTCTCCATGGCCAGCGCTCTGAGTGGGAAAGGCGACTGCCGCCTGGGCTGCAGCAGGCCCAATCTGGCTGCAGTCAGAGGCATTGCTTTCTGGGGGAAGTGGCACCTTGGAATGACACCTGGAATGTGGCTTCAGCCAGGCCACATCACAGGCTCACCTCATGGGACAGGCTCGGATGGTTCAGGAGTGGCTGTGGCATTCAGGGGCAGGGCTTGGCCGGTGCTCTTGCCATCCTCTGGCCTCCGGCTGTCTCTGTAGCCGGGGCAGTGTTGGCGGCAACAGCCGAGGCTGGGCACCACGGCCATGTAGAGCAGTGGGTGGATGCAGAAGGCCAGGGGCATGAGGCCTCGCATTGCCTGGTAGCCCACGTAGGGCCCCAGCTCCAGGGCCGCCATGGCCTGGCCCACATCCGTAAAATTTGGGCAGTGGCTGTCCCAGCGTCGCCGAGCCTCCACATTGAGCACCCGCATGATGTGGTAGGGTACATAGGAGCTGGTGTAGAGGGCCACGCCACTAGCCACCAGTGCTGCCACGCGCAGCTTCTCGGCTGCAGTCATGCCCGTGCTGCGCAGCACGGCCAGTCCGAGGGCACCATAGGCCGCCAGCGTGAGCAGCAGAGGCAGGACACAGCCCAGCCCTGCCAGCACCAGGCTATATGCTCTGTAGGCTGCCAGCCGGTGGCTGTCTGCTGTCCCCAGACACTTGATGCAGGCCTCGGGCCTGGCCACGCTGCAGGTGCCCACCCCCTGCTGTGGCCTCTTCAGGTGGGAGAAGCTGAGCGTGGGTGCGGCCAGCAGGGCAGCCAGGACCCAGCCTGTGGCACTCAGGGCCCAGGCGTGCTTGGGCCGCAAGTAGCTGCGGGTGAAGAAGGGGTGCACGATGCCCACGTAGCGGTTGAGGCTGATGCAGGTGATGAAAATGACACTGCCCAGCAGGTTGCAGGTGAAAAGGAAGCGTTCCAGACGGCACATGGCCTCCCCGTAGCGCCAGTGCTTGGGGGGATAGAGGTAGGCGGCCAGTGGTGGCAGCGTCAGGGCGCAAAGCAAGTCACTGACTGCCAGCTGGGCCGAGAAGACCACAGCGGGGTGCCATGGGCGCTGCTCAAGGGTGCTGAAGCGGTACAGGGCCAGGCCATTGCTGGCCACGGCCACCAGGAACTCAACCACCAGTATGGGCCACAGGAAGTCCCCCTGGAATGTATTGAGGATGTGGTCAGCAGCCACCAGGAAGTTGACAGGGCAGGCCTTGGCACCTGTGGGCAAAAGGTATCAGCAGCTGAGCACTCACCTCCCATAAGGCAGCTCCTGCTGCCTCCCGAGCCCATGCCCACCATGGCATGGATCCTGACACGAGTCCTTTCCCCTTGGAAGGGGATCAGACTCAGAGCCAGGGTTCTGCACTGGGCCCCAGTGGACCAGCTGGGGCAAGCCAGTGGCCACCCAGCTCCCCCGCCACCCTCATCTCTGGCCCCACTAGAGACCTCCTCCCCGAAGTCCAGCCCTGGCAAGTCCTGCCAGCTTCACTTCAGATCTGTGCTGCCTGACCCACAGCCTCTTCTCCCTGTGGCCACCAGAGGGCACCTGCGAGTGCTGGAGTCCTGTCCCCACCTCTTTTGCTTCCAGCTCACTTAGCTGTGGAGTGGCCGCCAAAGAGCCAGACTCACCCCACAAGATCACATGGGTACACTGCCACTCGCCACACTCCCCAATGCCATCCTCTCTGCCCCATGACTCACCCCCTCACACTGGCCCACTCTGGCTTCCCGCCTGCTCCTGCAGGCTTGTGCCTTGGGACCTTCCCATCCAGACTTTTTTTTTTTTTGAGACGGAGTCTCACTCTGACGCCAGGCTGGAGTGCAGTGGTGCTATCTTGGCCCCCTGCAACCTCTGCCTCCTGGGTTCAAGGAATTCTCTTGCCTCAACCTCCCAAGTAGCTGCATCACCCCCCCCCCCCCGCCTGGCTAATTTTTGTATTTTCAGTAGAGATGGGGATTCCCCATGTTGGTCACTGCTGACTTCTAAGGATTTTTAGAAGTCCTTTCTGTACTGGCAAAACTTGAGCGGTGCTGGTAATCCCAGCAAGGGGGCACAAAGGTTGCCTCCAAGGGTTTAATGATTTGCTAAATTTGCATTTACCCCACCCACCTCTAGGGTTTTGGAGCTTACTTATCTAGCTCTGGTTTCCTACGCCAAAACCAATGTTTGAACCACTTTGACCTCTGACTTCCTTTTCAGGCTGGTCTCGAACTCATGACCTCAGGTGATCCACCCGCCTCAGCCTCCCAAAGCACTGGGATTACAGGCATGATCCACCATGCTTGGCCACACCCTGACATTCTTGAGGCTCCCTCCCCCACGTCTGTGGTCCTGCCTGCAGACACCCCAAAGTGTGCCTGCAGCCTTCCCTGCAGCATTTTCCCCCATATCGTGCCTCCACCTGACAGAAAAACCTCCCTCCTCTGGGAGGATGAGGGCTCTGCCTACCCACTACTGGCACCAGTGCCCCCCACAGGGCACAGCCGCACAGGGGTGCTCACTCGGGACAGGCTCCTCCTGAGGTGCTTATCCACTCCCAACCATAGCCTGCTCAGGGAGGAAGTGCCATCTACACCTTGCTTTTTTCTGGAGACAGGATCTCGCTGTCACTGAGGCTCAAGTGCAATCACAGCTCAGTGCAGGCTTGAACTCCTGGGCTCAAGCGATCCTCCTGCCTCAGCCTCCTGATTAGCTGGGACCACAGGATCCTGCCACCACAAGCAGCCTCAACCTAGGTTTTACCAATACCCATCCCCCACTGCCCCCACCTTTTAATAATCTGCAGACCCCTGGATAGGCCATCATGCCTTCTCACCTGAGTGGTTGGCTGCCATGCTCCCACGCTCTCTGTGCCGAGCCTGAGCCTGTCTGCAACCCAGTTCCGCTGTCCCTCCTGAGTCTCCTGTGGCCAAGCCCCAGTCCCTCCCCCAGTTCCGGGGCCAGCCAGCAGAGCAGGCGAGAGCATCCTGTTTCCACCCACGTTTCCTTCCTCATTGTGCCACAGCCAGCTGGGGGTTCAGGCTCATCTGCTTAAAGCGTGACCTCTGTCTGCTTGCAGGGCTCTTGGTGGCACCGTGGGGAGGGGCTGCCCATGCCCAATGCTGCCACCAATGACACCACCCAACCCCATGCAAGAAGTGGGAGAGGGGAGGGACCCAGCTTCCAAGAGCAAACCAGGTGGAAGGGACTCCCAGGTGTCACCGGCCCAGGCCTCTCTGGGTTGCTTTGTAGGGCTCCAGGATCCCCCATCCCAAAAGCTGACGTGGACCCCTGGCCAGTTCAGTCCTTTATTGGAGTGGAAGGGTTGGGGACACAACTCCTTTATGAAAGGAAACCGAGGGCCGCGTCTCTCGGGCCCCAATCTGGGGCATTCAATCTATCCACTGCTCCGACGCGGCTCGGCCTCATGCTGCTCTCTTCTGTGGCCGGCCCCGTCCTCGTCCACGATGCCAGGAAACCCCCTTGGGCCCCCGCCTGCCCTGGGCCCCCTGGGGCTTGTCCTTGGGCAACTTCCAGTCACTAAAGCGACCCTTGCCTCTGTCCGTTTCCCGCCGCTTCCAGCCCGGACACTTGGCTGGCTGTTTTGGCTTTGCCTCAGGGAACAGGTCTGCGGGGAAGAGACCATGTCAGGGCCCCAGAACAAGGACGGGCCCCGAGGACCCCACTGCAGACCCCACTCCATACCCTCACTGGGCGCCTCGCCAACCGCCTGGCGGAAATACTCTATGTCATCATCTTCCAGGTCATCATCAGACTTGCTCAACCACGGGCTCGGCCTCCCCGGGGCCACTTCGCGACTGCTCCCAACCTGTGCCTTCTTCATGCCCTCCAGGCTCTTCTCCCTGAAGGAGGGATTGGGTGGTGGTCAAGGTGGCTGCCCATCCCCAGGACCCCTGGCCTGGCACTGCCAAGCCCCGCCCAGACCTGTGGGCCTCCCGCTGCTCCTGCTTGCGCTGCACGTTCTGGGCCTGCTGGGCCCGCCTCTGCGCCTTCAGCTGCAGCCTTTTCTCCTTTGCTTCCAGGATGGCCTGCAGCTCCTCCTCCGTCTTGCGCACTGAACAGGGAGATGCAGTCACCGAGAGTTGGGCGCAGCCCCCCACCCTTGGGCCCCGGCCTCACCAAAACTGTGGAACATCACTTTGCCCTCCCCGATGCCGTCCTGGACTTTGACGAGCTGCAGCGTCATCCTCGGGCCGATCTGGGGGTGATGACAGAGAAGTGTCAGCCCATTGTTGCGGCTGGGGGTCCCCAAGGGTCACCTTCCCTGGGCCTCACCTCAGTGAGCCGCACGGCGCTCTGTTGAGCCAGCATGTTGCCGCGGCCAGCGATGGCCTGGGGCAGCTCTGTGATGTTATGGTCACCGTCGGGCTCTGCCTCACTCTCCGACAGCCCTGCGCCCCTATGTGGGGAACACTCGCAGCTCAATGGGGAAGCTCAGACTCCTGGGCCCATTCTGGGGTCCCTGGGCTGCGGGTGGCCTCCTGCCCTATGCCCTTCTTACGTAGCCAGCAGCTCGCTGATGTCCTGCAGGCGGCTCATGTTGGGGAACTTCTCCTGGAGAAGCTTCTTCATCCCGCGACTCGCACCCACAGGAACAACCTTGATGCTACTGTGGGGACATGAGTGGATGACAAGGGGGTGGTCAGGGGTCTTGGGGCTTGCAGTCCACATCTTGTCTTCCCACAATGTGTCAGGGCGTTTACTTTGAGACAGAGCAATCACAGAGTCTCAGCAAGAGTGCTGTCATCAGCCGCATGAAGAGGCCCCCATCCCGTACCCCCTCATCCCTTGCCTGCCAGGATGCTCACTAGTGGCGGAAGTCCAGCTCCTGGGAGTCAGGGTTGTAGTCAATGAGGAGGCAGCGCTTGATGGTGTTCAGGTTTACCTGGGAGGTGAGGAAGACCGCATGCTCCAGTAGACTCTTGGCAAAGTTTGGGGAAATGCGGGCTTCAGGGGATACATGCCCTGTTACACTGACTTTGGCACTGGCTAGAAATCTTGCTTCCAGCTTGCACCTGTGGTTTCAGCTATTCTGGAGGCTGAAGCTGGGGGACTGCCTGAGCCCAGGAGTTCAAAACCAGCCCAGGCAACATAGAGTGTGTCCATGTCTACAAAAAGTAGATGTAAAAACGAGCTGGGCATGGTGGTACATGCCTGCAGTCTCAGCTACTCAGGACGCGGAGGCTGCAGGATTGCTTGCACCCAGGAGTTCAAGACCAACATAGGGAAACTGTCTCTTAAAAAAGTAAAGAAGAAATCCTGGTCCCACAGCCCACATTAGACTCCCTGATGACTGGTATCTTACCTAAGTCCCATCTGAGAGTCACTGGTGACAAGGATTAAGAGCTAGGACTCAGGAGCCAGACCAATTTGAAAATCCAGTCCTGCCCCCTGGAATCTAAACTCAGCATCTCTGCCAGCCTCAGTTGTGCTTTTTTTTGGAGACAAGGTCTCGCTTTGTCACCCACGATGGAGTAGAGTGGTATGAACATGCCTCACTATAGCCTCCACCTCCTGGGCTCAGGTGATTCTCCCAATGCAGCCTCCATGTGCCACCACACCAGACTACTTTTTAAAAATCTACTTTTTGTAGACATGGGGTCTTACTATGTTGCCCAGGCTGATCTCAAACTCTTGGGCTCAAGCGATCCTCCTTCCTCGCCCTCCCAAAGTACTGGGATTACAGGCCTGAGCCACAGGACTGGGCCCTGCAGCTTTCCTCTGTAAAACAGGGCCACGAGAAGAGATGCTACACTCAACACACACAGAAAATAAAACTCTGTATGTCTTTCCACCTGCTGGACAAGGCGCAGCTCGCAGGGTGGGAGTGCTGGGGGCATCACTGGACACGAGTGGGATTTAACCTCAGGACTCAGCAGACCCAGGAGCTGTCAGCCTCAGCACTAGGAGTAGTGAGCGAACCACCTGAGGGCCTGTGGCACCTCTACCCACTGCACTCACCCGTACCTGCCACCTCACTGGGCCCACCTTGTGCACGTTGATGGAAGGAAACAGGTTCTGGAACATGGTGGCCATGAGCTTCACATGCATGCCATGGGGGCCAAAGCTGTTGAGCACCAGGAGGGGCGGGTGGGCAAACTGCTGCTCGTGCATTCGGTGCCGGCGCAGCGAGGAGACCACGTCACGCACCAGTGAGTACTGCAGGGCAGGAGGAGGGGGTGATCATCAACCACACATGGCTGGAGCCACCCCCAAGTCCAGCTCCCGCCCACATGACTTTGTACCACCTCCCCCCCTCACCTTCTTGACCTGGAAGGTCAAGGTGGGGCCTCCTGGGAGGCGCATCAGCTTCTGCAGGGGAAAAAAAGATCAGTGAGGCTGGAGAGGTCTAGCAGAGGAGCCCGGGAGTAGGCACCTTTACCCAATCTCTTCTTCAGAGCGTTTACTTTGAAGCCAGAAATCACAGCAACTCAGAGGCATATGTGTTCATCATGAGAGATGGGGAAAGTGGGGGTCTGGGGGAGATGAAGGGGTGAGGGTGCCTACTCACAAAGTAGACACTGGTCTCGGTTTTGCTCAGGATCAGAAAGTGTGTGACCCCAAGGGGCCCAGCCACTGCCACGCAGTCCTTCAGTGAGTTCTTCTTACGAACCTAGAAATGACAAAGAGAAAAAAACAGCTTAGCCGGGCGTAGTGGTTGCGTGCCTGTAGTTCCAGCTACTTGGGAGGCTGAGGCAGGAGAATCACTTGAACCGGGGAGGCGGAGGTTGCAATGAACCGAGATGTGGCCATTGCATTCCAGCCTGGGCAACAAGAGTGAAACTCCGTCTCAAAAAAAAAAAAAAAGAAAAAACATAGCCATCCCTTATTGCAGTGACTATAAGCTGATACTGCAGATCCTGTTATGGTCTGTCTTGCACCTGACCCTTTCAACAAGCCCAGAAGAGCAAAAGGATCTTAGCGTTTACTTCAGAGTCAACTGGACATGGATTTCAGTTCTAACTGTCTCTTGCTCACAGTGCATCTTCCCATTTGACAGATGAGCGAACCAAGGCCCAGCAAGATTAAGTAACTAGCTTCAGGTACTGGGGAAAAGTCAGTTTCCAACCCTGCTTTGCTGTCTCCAGATTCTAGCCTTTTTTTTCCCCCCCGACATGGCCTGCCCCTGTCACCCAGGCTGAAGTAAAGTGGCATGATCCTGATTCACTGCAGCCTTATATTTCCTGGGCTCAAGGAATCCTCCAACCTCGGCCTCCCGAGTGGCTGGGACTACAGGCATGCACCACCATATCAGACTAAACGCTGGAATTACAGGCTGAGCCACCACGCCAGGCTCCAGATTCCAGTTTTTTTTATTTTTTTATATCACTTCTATTTGATGATAGAGACATTCCAGTTTTAACCGCCACCCTTAGGCTACTAACTATCCCGCAAGCTATGCGCCCTCGCTCCAGCCCAGGAAAGCCATGAGGCAGAGATGATAATCCCCATGAGGGTCCCTTTCTCCAGCTGGGGAGACTGAGGCCTCCCAGAGGGAGGCATTACTGCGGCCGCGAAGACGAAGCCCACGATGGGTGGAGACGGGCTAGGGGTGAGGTACAGACCTGCAGGCGGCTGGCAGTAAGCGGCTCCATGACCCGCCGCACGTCCAGTGCGAGCTGCCGGATGTTCTGACCCGCGCAGCCCCGCGTGAATACGAACGAGTGCGGGTTAGCGGCGTAGGCCTCGAGATTGTGGAGCTGCGCCTGGGCGCGCGCACGCTTCTGGTGCCGGGACTACGGCGGCGAAAAACAAACAGTGAGCACCGCGACCCGGACCGAGACCCCGCCTGTGCCCCCTGCCTCCCCAGCCACTGAGCCTTACCCTCCCTGACCGCCCCATACTGCTGTGTCCTCCGCGAGGGTTCTTCTGTCTGCCGATTCCGGCGCCGCGCAGCTCACTTCCGGCGCCTGAGAGGCCTCACGGAAATCGGCACGGCGTGGTGACGTCATCAGGCAGTCCTGCGCACTAGGCGGCCTCCGGGAGCGGGGAGGGGCAATCAGGTGGAGCGGTTGCTATGGAGACAGGGAGGCCT